ACAAAATTTCATTAAAATAAAACCATTTAAACTGGGTGTTCGGATTTATATGTCACTTAGTATATTTCCCAAAATAGTGCCGCGGGTAGAAGAGTTAGTCGTTATTAGAATATTGTAACCTTAGTGTGCAAGAGACTTCAAAACAATATTGAGTAAGGAAGAAAGATCTAATATGTGTAAAGTAATAATTTCAGGATTAGGTAGTATCGAAATTTTCCGAAAGAAAATCGTTGAAAAGGTTTTGGCCTAGGAATCGGAATCAATAAGGAGAAACTTAAATTAATGGTAAGTGATCAGAATAGTTAAAAAAAGTCACGTGAGTTTGACACTTTATACCGTTGTAAGCAATTCCCCTAGTGTCACTGACCAGCGGTATCGCGGTTGAAAAAGTTGTTGAAATACAATTAAGAACACATATTGAAAGTCAAAGTATCCTTCCTAAAACACAGTCAGGTTTTCGTCCAGGATACAGTTGCACCACTGCACTTGCTAAAATAACTGATGATATCATTCAGTCGAATGATCTGGGTGAGTCTACCGCTTTAATACTATTAGATTTCAGCAAGGCATTTGACACAATTAACCATGATGTCTTGCTGTCTATCTTAAAGTCATGTGGATTGTCTACTGACAGCGTAAAACTTTTTAATTCATACTTAAGTGGCAGATCACAGTGTGTACAACTGAAAAATGAAATATCTAGTTCAAAGCCCACTACCACAGGTGTACCGCAAGGATCTATACTTGGACCATTGCTCTTCACTGTATATACCAGTCAGATCCTTAAATGTTTGGAATTCTGTAAGTCACACGTTTATGCGGATGATACCCAGCTGTACTATTCTTTTCCTAGTTCAGATTGGCCAGCTGCCGAGTTGAAAATAAACAGTGACTTGACTAACCTCTCTAAAAGATTGCAAGAGCATTCATTAATATTAAATCCAAATATATCAGCTGCTGTGATTTTTGGTAAAGACCGTTCTTATGTGACTGAGAATTTAAATATAACCATAAATAATATTAGATTAAAATACTGTGATAAAGTTAAAAACTTAGGCATAACAACGGATTATAATCTGAGGTTTTGTGAGTACATATCAAACTGTATCAAAAAATCTTATCTGGCTCTAAAATTATTGTATCCTCACCGAAATTTTCTCAATTTAGACATCAAAAGAATTCTTGGCGAAACCTTGGTTTTATCACAGTTTTCGTACTGTGTTCCAATTTATTCTGCATGTTTACATTGTGATATATTCATGCGAATACAGAGAACACAGAACTCATGCATACGTTTTATATATGGCATAAGAAAATTTGAAAGAACTCCGACGGCTAAATATGAAGGCTCGTTTTGAGATATTCACAATATGCTTTTATCATAAAATTTTAACTCTCAGGCAGCCTCATTACCTCTACGAGAAAATAACAATCAGAAAAGACAAATGTGGATGAATTAAAAAAACTGGTTCTTGATCTAACGTCTAGCGCATATGGTGTGGACGAAATTAGTGCAAAAATGCTACAATACTCTATTTCTGTAACTGCCCCACACATAACTCATATTATAAATTGCTGCATAGAGGTTGGTTATTATCCTAGTTTATGGAAATATGCTCTTATAAAACCTTTGCCCAAAATAAGCATACCGTCTGTATATAATGACTTAAGACCAATTAGTATACTGCCTGCTCTGTCTAAAGTACTGGAGAAGGTGATCTATTTACAGTTATACGAATTTGTGATTTCTAACCAAATTATACCTGAATCACAGTCTGGATTCAGAAGGGGCTATAGCACAACTTCGCTCCTTTTAAATGTCAGATGATATTATTAGATCTCTCGACGCTGGCCTTGCTACAGCTCTTGTATTTCTTGATTTTTCGAAGGCGTTTGATACGATTGATCACTGCTTACTTCTTGCAAAGTTACGATATTATGGTATAAATCAATTGGGCTGCCGACTTTTCAAATCTTACCTTCAGGGCCGTTACCAATGTGCTGTGGTTGATAATAGCTCGTATTCTGACTTCCAGCCTGTGACTTCTGGAGTCCCTCAAGGCTCCATATTAGGACCTTTGCTATTTATTATATATACGTCTGATATTTTTAAAACTATCACTTATTGCAAGATACAAGGTTATGCTGATGACACACAATTATACCTGTCGTTCGATCATAGATTTATAAATACCGCATCTGCTTATATTAATCAAGATTTAGAAAATATTCAAAAATATTCATTTAATCACAACTTAAACCTCAATCCAGATAAATGTCAAGTTGTTATCTTCTCTCCGCCATGTTATGAAACTTTTATGCAGCATATCGACTTAACATTAAATGGAAAATCAGTCTCAGTAGTTAATAGTGCAAAGAATCTTGGTGTTATTTTCGACTGTAAACTCAGATTTGAAGAGTACGTCTCACTATTAGTGAAAAAGACTCACCTAGTTTTAAGGCTACTGTATCGAAATGGTAGTATTTTAAATTTTAAATTACGTAAAAAGCTCTCAGAGAGCCTAGTATTACCTATTTTAAATCATGCAATCACGCTTTATTATCCCTTCTTAACGTCTATTTTGAAATACAGACTTCAAAAGGTACAAAATTGCTGTTGTAGATTTGTTTTTAGGCTCAAAAAGTTTGATCGAATCTCAGCTAAAATAAATGAGTTAAAATGGTTAAAACTGGAATATACTCATAAATATTATACTTCTATTTTAGTTCACCGTATTTTATCATCACAGAGCCCTGCTTACCTGAAAAGAAAATTAGTCTTTAGGCGTGATTTGCATGATTTAAATACGAGGTTCACTAATAAACTTTCTCTTCCTAAGTTTCGTTTATCTTTATTTAGAAAATCTTTTTCATATAATGCTGTTACTATATACAATAGTATCGATGACGCGCTTAAGTTTAGTTCTGTACCGATGTTTAAAGTCCTGGTAAGGCAATTTTATTACAATAGTCAATGCAATGGATAGTTCAATAGTTTTTGATTATATACTCTTCGCTTTGCGGTTTTGTGTCTTAGGCTTTTGTTTATTTTCATTCAAATTATCTCATATTTTCTATGCTATTTTGTATTTGATCACTTCTGATGATTGCATTTTATGTATTATCTGTGGCTTTTTGTTAGCTTTTTTTTATTGTTAAGTAGAGTAGCTTAGGCTAGACTTCGCCCTGTTGCAGATTTCTGCATTGTATATAACAATACTCAATAAAGACATAATAATAATAATAATAATAATAATAATAATAATAACATGCATTCCGTAAATATTCGTTCGAAACAAAACAATACCGCTCCATTCCACAGAACTAAATTTTATGAAAGATCATTTACGTATAATATATATAAGCTATACAATCCTATCCCCCAGTATCTCAAATCATATGAAATTCACAAGTTCAAAGCGGTTTTGCGTGATTCTTACCTTGAATGTATAAATTTCAATTTTATTTTGTTTGCATTCCATTATTTTATTTATATTTTTTTTTCATATGATGCATAAATGTATATACCTATATATATATATATATATATTTACATTTACCACCACGTTTTCTCTTTGCTCTTTTTTTCAAACTTAATTGTCGCTCATATTGGCGTTTGTTTATGCGGTATGTATGGGTATATATATATATATATATTATTCTAGACTTTCTTTTTTTTAATTTATTACCACATGTCTCACTTTTATATCTTATTTTTTTTAAAAACTTACATGCTGTTCATATTGATGTTTGTATATGCTTGATGGATGTATTTACTGGCATAATGTTTCTTACAATTTCAAGGGATGAGTGGAAGAGCACTAGATAGTGAACTCCCCCTTGTGGTTTTCAGACAGTCGACATTTGTTTTATTTATTTTTTATATTTTCCTTTTTTTTGTTACTACTCATGTTTCTCTTTCTGATTCTTTTTTGAGAACTTTTTGGAAATAAAGGCATTTATTATTATTATTATTATTATATATTGTAATTACAATGATGGGTAAATACCCGCGCACAGGCATGCTGCGGGTACTCTATGTTTACTTGTCTTGTTCGAGACTAATTGTATTTTATAAATAAACATTTACTATTATTTATGGCTGTACAAGAATAAGAAAAAATGTGGTTCCAGCTTCATGGAGCAACGTGCCCTAGAGAAATGCCAAAACATTTTGCGAATAATGTTTTTTGAGCTTTTGATTACCCAGTGAGGTGATCCCTGGCTCCCAAGATCGTCAGATGTAACGGCCCCCAACACCTTTATGAGGGAATTCTAAAAAATGTTTGGGCTAACAATGAATCACTGCAAAACAGCTAAAGATCATTATGAAGATATTCAAAATATTCCTCCAGAAACCTATCAAAAAATCATAGAAAGTTTACTGAAGAGGGCTCAGGTCTGTGCTGTTTCCATTCAGGTGATTTTTTTCCCAAACATAGCTCCTAAGCCCGCTTTTATGCACGCGTTTTTTGTCGCCTGTCGCGTGGCGACAAAAAACGCGGCGTTTATAGATGAAACAAAATGGAACTTTTGTCTAACGTTGTTTGTGGCGTGTCGCTTTCAGATAGATCAGTGGCCATCGTATCGTCTAAACAAGGAAGTGTGGTGCATTGATAAATAATGGATCCGTGTGTTGTATACTTGGCATACAAATATATAATCAAAAAGAGACGCAAGAGACGTTGGAGCGTTCACCCAATAAATAGTGCAAGAAATCTCAGAGGCACATATTATACACTACACAAAGAACTAAGACGAGACAATGACAAATTCTTTAATTATTACCGTATGTCGATAGCTTCCTTTGATGAGCTATGTGAAAAGTTAAAAAACACTTTCAATAAAGATAGGGAGCTGATTCAAGGATTTGCATTCGAAGCAGAAGAAATGTTATCAATGACGTTGAGGTAAGTTTATGAGAAAGTTGAAGAAATAAACCATTTATTCAGGAAATAAGAGTAAAACATCAAACACTATAACAAAACAGTTCATACATATTATTGATTTGATAACAGTGATATTAGTGATTCGGCTTGTGAAATTATTGAATTTTCCGATTCCGTCGGAGAAAATGGCGTTTGTGGTGACGTCACAGCAAGTGATTCAGTAGTATCAGTATTAGGATGAGGCAAATGAGGTGTGATCTCAGATGATACTGTAGAATATGATGCGAATGGAGGTGCTGGCGTATTAAAACGTATATTAGAGATGTTGGTCATTACTGGATATTGCTGTGGTTGGTAATGGGGTATATGATTTGGAAAATTGTGTATATACTGATTTGGTTGTTTGTTAGTATATCGGCTTAATAATTGCATGACCTCTATTCGAAAATTCAATTTCTCATTCGGAGTGAGCGTATCTAAACTTGCTTGTAATGATCTAAAAAAGGCCATGCCATCAGTTTCTTGTGGTTGACTTTGTATAGCTAATGCTGGCTGTCTGTTATGGGAATCAATATAGCTTGCAAGTTTACTTTCTAAATCTGATTTCTTTCTTCTATAGAGAGTACTTCTACTAGGAGTTCGTCCAGTTTCCATTTGGCTGTCGAACTGAGTATGTTGGACATCTGATGAAGTACTTTGCATGTCATTTATGTCCTTTGAAACATCCATATCTTCTTGGCCCTCTCTTGATGTACTTGGTAGTGAGCTCTCTGTCTGACGGGAACCAGTCACCTTTCGTAAAAATCCTAATTGTTTAGCATAGATGTACGTTTTTACAGCTTTAGCAGACGCTCCTGATTTTTTTCCCTTAGACTGTCGAATGGTACGAGCATAAGCATCCCTCAGACTTTTCCATTTAAGTTGAACTTCTCTACCTAAAAAGGAAAAACAGATAACATGTTAGATACCCAAATGTAATTTTTTTTTAAAAAAATGTGTTTCTCATACGAGCCTTGACATCTATGTATATGTCGTACATCCCAATAATATAAAGTAAAGGTTTTAGATGCACTACAAATAATGAGAGACCTAAAATTTGTTGACAATTATTCGTATTCTTTGCATTTAACTAAGCCGAAACCCCGAAACATAGGAGATTGGCCATGATATTACTATTATAAGTAACTGTATCGTTATACTAAATGGCAGTTTTGTTTTACAGGTATTTAGGTTCAGGATGTACCTATACAGAGCTGCACTACAGCTACAGATTAGGGGTCACAACGGCAAGTCTTCTAATTCCAAGAGTTTGCGTTGCCCTATGGCGTACATTACAGGAAGAGTGCTTTCCTGTACCTACTGAACAACGTTGGCGCCAAATTGCCCAAGATTTTGCAGAACGTGCCAATTTTCCTAACTGCATTGGCTCTATTGATGGTAAACATTGCAGGATAATCGCGCCTGCACATAGCGGATCACTGAACTATAATTACAAGAACTTTTTTTCCATTGTTCTATTAGCTATTGCCGACAGCAACTGTTGTTTTATATACATCGATGTCGGGTCCTATGGTAAGGAATCGGACTCCATGGTGTTTAGACAATGCTCCTTGTTTAGAAAATTGGAAGAAGATACCTTACATATCCCAAAACCTGAGAAAGTAGCAGAAACAACACTGCCATATGTACTCGTTGGGGATGAGGCGTTTGGACTAACAAATAACTTAATGCGACCTTATCCTGCAAAGAACTTAACAGAAAAAAGAAGAAATTTTAATTATCGCTTGTCTAGAGCAAGAGGGAAAGTAGAATGCTCCTTTGGAATTTTAACTAACAAATGGCGTATACTGCATCGACCGATGAATGTGATGGGGGAAGTCGCTGTATCCATCATCAAAGCTTGCTGTATATTACACAATTTTGTTCGTGTGAGGGATGGCATCAGATTTGAGGATACTTTGACAATAACAGGGCTGCATGATAATGATAGAGCAGAACCAGAAGGACGTGGACGTAAGTCTGCTTACAAATACAGAGATGCTTTCGCTGACTATTTTAGCAGTCCAGCAGGGGCTGTGCCATGGCAAAACACCAACATATGATTTAAACAAAATAGTAAGTGTATGTATTAAAGTAATTAACATGAAATGCTTACCAATTTCCTGCCTTTCTTTTTCATCTTTTTCCCCAAATTTTTGGATAACAATTTCGCACACTTCCTTCCAATCGTCTCTTTTAAGCTGTCTGTTTTTGTAGTCTCCTGACGATGAATCCCACAAAGATGGTCGTTTTTCTATTGCGTCGATGAATAGTTCGACATCCAGATGTTCCATTGTAGCACACGTCTTCAGTCTTTAGACAACACCCACCAACTGAGAATGAGTTCCTATCATAGCATCAGCGACAATAAACGCATTGAATAAAAGCGTAAATTCCATTCAACGTACTTACAAAACGCCTGTCGCCACGCGTTCTCAAATTCCAGGCGACCAAATTTGAGAACGCCGCGACACGGGCATCGAGCGGCTCACCGTCGTTGATGCATAAATGGCTACATACAAGGCAATGCGTTGAGAAAACGACGCGTTTTTTGTCGCCACGCGACAGGCGACAAAAAACGCGTGCATAAAAGCGGGCTAACTTTCAGTGGCATTAAAAAAAATAGTCACTTTTTGCGTGATCAAGGCCATATATTCGTGGGTACTCAAAGGCTATAAAGGGATAAAGGGAACGTAGTGGACGTCACATGGTCTCTAGCTGGAGATCAGTGTACACGTGACATGCATCATAACCATGAGAAATTCTCTTGGAATGGGATTTGGACTTGCGCTGCTCACGGCGACTGGTTAGTAGACCCACAGTCGATACCATCACACCACCAGGCTGCCAAAGGCGCGCAGTCATGTGGTATTGTTTTTCATACATGAAGTTTCGATGTCACGAGATTAATTAGTAATATAAAATCCCTAATAACTATATTTACTTTCCGTCCATCATGCTAGGCGACTCCACAATCTAGGGATTCCCGTTTCCTACAGCGATACTTCACCTCACTTGTTTCAACAATCACGTATGGATTGAAATCAGACGCCAGTAATTTATGCTTTAGATAACAAGAACCGTTTTCAATTACGGAAATTTCTTCAGGCGTCAAATCCCTAAAAGCTAAACTAATTTGGAATAACGAACAACTTTGTCTGGAGCAAAAGCAAACACGGGTAATTTGAATTCCTATGCAAAGCGGAAGTAGGGAATAAGAAGCATGGAGTCTCTCACCAGGAATTCCGCCAATGCCAAATTAGTTCACGTATTATGTGTTAGTATCGCCTACAATAATGAAGGAAGTATATTGATCATATGTACTGAGAGACAAGGAAAGGTAAACACCTACGTATGTTTATCCGATTTCAATAACTTTTGGCTTTATTTTCAGCATCCGTTACTAGTAAAAGCAACCCGACAATTCGACTGCTCTCAAAGTCACTTAGCTCACACGCAGCCACCACAAAAACTTAACAGAAAAACCTGTCCATTTTATCAATTTTTCTTCATGGCAAAATAAATCGAAATGTAAAAAATTATTGAACTCTAATAATCATACCTTATTTTGTCATTCAGTATATTTGAAAATGTGATTTATTATTAATAGTGCTTTCGTCCATCCAACCAATAGATGACAAACCGTATACAGCTGTTTGAAGCTTATTAACCACCATCAGCATGGTCTAGACTTGGTCTCTAGGTAGAACAACGGCTACCTGTTAGTGGGCTGGATGAAAACACCCTTACTGATTTTCAATAGCGCGTAGACTGTCAGCGGCATCCAGCGGTCACAGTGAGGATTCGGCTTTCGGTATGAACAGAAATAAGGCGTATCCATTATTTTACCGGCTGAGCCAGTTATCCACTTGTACGTTCTCTGACTCGCATCCACCATCGATATAAGTTTGGTACTCAATCGGTAAATTAAAGGATACGCCTATGCCCTCACAGTTCCAACAAATAGCCATTAGGCTTATTGTGCACCCCCCAGTCCTAGGTATTGAGCAGGGTCTCATTTTAAGTCATAGAGCCCCCAACATCCGTAGATCTGCCCTTAGTCAGCTTTTTCTACGACTCTTGGTGCTCATTTGGTAACCAACGAGATACGTGATGCCGCATGCTGGTTCAGGTCCAATAAGGGATAGATTAGTTCTTTTTTAGCATCGGCTCCCTCATTTCAATCTATCTCCGTGCCAGCTGGCACCCAAGAGAGAAGTTGTCATTCGCTATACAGGGTGTAAACGTTATGATAGTCATTATTTAAATCGGTGATAGAGGGTGTTGAAAGAAGCAAATGTTTCATGTAATAAGGGGGTCAAAACGGCATTTTTTTTAGAGAAAAGTGACTTTGAAGTAAAATAAAACCTTACAACGCCGCAATGCCAGACGCAAATTACGACGGAACACAGTGTAAATAAAGATGGAGTTTGTTATTTATGGCTCTTAGGTATTATTTCATTATTTGATAATGTACTCGTAAAATGCAAACAATTAAAAAAAACGGACTTACCACTAACTGTCTCTGCGCTTCACCTGGTGTGTGAAAGCTTATTGAACGTATTAAAGAAATCCACTTTTAAATAGGGAACACAATTTTGATACATACATTGTTTTTCTTTTTAAAACCCACACTGCACTTTTTTGTATTTAAAGAAGGTGTTCAAAATGTCGTCCTCTACTTTCCACACAAGCTTCATTACGACGAACCCAGTTTCTTCTTACTCTAGGTCCTCGAAGTTGTCCATTTATTAAGTCAGCCGCATTAAAATTTGTTTCGCGAAGTTGTGCTTCAGTTGTTATTGGACCAGCCCTATAAACCATCCCTTTAAGTTCTCCCTAATATCAGAAATCCATCGGACTGAGGTCAGGAGATCTTGCTGGCCATTTTCGAGGATCATGAGCATTTCGACCGATCCAGCGATTTGGATAATGTTCATTCAAATAGTGAATGACGCCTCTAAAAATGTGTGGTGGTGCCCCGTCATGAAGAAACCACAAATTCTGTCTCCGTTGTAATGGCATGTTGTCTAAGGTCTGTTCCAAAAGTTCTGGTAGATTATTGGCTAGAAAGCTAAGGTATCCTTCTCCTGAGAACTTTGGGGGTAACTTGAAAGGGCCAATTACCTGATCGTCAAGAATACCCGCCCAAATATCTATTTTAAAACATCCGGATTTTCAATGTTTTTGTGCAAAAATCACTGACAGAATCATAGTCTGCGAAAATAGTCTTCTGGTAACAAGGCCTGCACTCATTGTACATGGTAGGGATAAAGCCAATTTTCCCGTAGGATTATATGGACTATGGTCTGCGATAGTCCTAAGCGGCGCCCTAATTCCCGAGTGCTGATATCTGCATTGATTTCCACGGTATTTAAAATTTGGTTCCTCCTACTCTACAATAACCTGTCTTTCACGAGTGCGAATATTAGTGGGCTGAACACGAAGCCTTTGGTACACTTGCACAAATGTCCTTCTGTCTGGGTGTACCCTTTGGCGATAAATTTGAGCTGCTAGATTTGAATTCTGACGAGCTTCACCGTAAACTAACAACACGTCGGCGAACTCTAAATTCGAGAACATTGTAAATAAACACGACGACGTACGCGAACAATAACCACTGTTACCGTTTGCGATTGATTGCCGCTTCGATAAGAGTGATGAATGGCCGACGCGCTGTTGTCATGTGTATTTTAAATATTTAATTTAATGAAACTTACTGACTACAAATTTTGGCTTAACTTAGAAAAACTTAATGCCCTTTATTTGTTAATTACCCAATTTAAAAACGTTTTAGGTTAGATTAAAAAAATTAGTAAGATTATGGTCGGTATAAATCACTTAAAGATGTAAACTACAAAGCCGTTTAGACAAAAATCTATTGACTTTTGGACCATGGGTCATATTAACTTTTTGACTTGTTTTCTAGATATAGCTGTGCCAATATCACCAGAGCAGCTTGGATGTTTGTGTTTACATAGACGGTCTTTTTGTCATATCCCGATCTTATTTTTATACTTCAGCTACCGCGAAGGCCTAAGGCCGGAACACCCATGGGTACCGCGGAGCTACAGGGGATACAGGGGAAAAGGGGGGGACGCCGCACGGACTCTACCGAAGGAACACGTGTGCATGCAGCATGCACACATTCTGGCCAGCTTGCCATACAGGCCGTTAGACCCCAAGTGTGACAGATCGTTCGTATCGTCGTCGCTAGGGTGGTCTGGGTACGACTAGTACCGTTTCTAATTGGCTATTTCAGCTTATCATCTAATCTGATACCTCCTTCGCAACCTTTACTTAATTCCTGTAGAAGGTTGGTATTCTGCTGATATCCACTTTCCTTTTCTTTGTCAATGGAGCCTTTCTGATATAATTTTTAATATAATTCCAGAAACTGCCAGTACCTCGTCAAAAAAAAAACGTACTCTATAAGCCCTAAGTTTTCCACAACCCCATACTACTACTACTCTCGACAGTAACTTTCACGGACGATAAAGGCACCTTTTTTGAACGATTTCTGTCCAGCTAAGCTAGGTTAACTAAACAGTTTTCGACCCCCGAGTCGTAACGCGTGATGTGACCACCACCACAAGTGTCAGCGTCTCTATAAAAATCCAATATCTCCACGGGTCATCCAGTATTTTTATAGCTTCTATTAAATTAAGTAATGCGCCCGGAGATATTTCCTCATCTCTGTTTATTTTTTCTTTGTAGTCCCGTCGTATCCACTGCGAACCGTGACAAAGATTACAAGATTAAAACGTGGAAAGGTCCGATCGCCCGATATTAGAGACTAGACTTTGTTGCAGCTTGCAGATAATTGACACAAGAGTATCATCCGTTTAGAAAACACTGCCTCGTGAAAACTACGTGATATCATAGAGATCAGAGGATATTTGAGAGGAGTTTCTATTGTAGTGGGAGATCTAACTTATTAAAAAAAATTAGGTACTGCAACTAATATATTAGTCACCAGAAATGCTGCGGTACTCAAATGAATGAGCCCGACTAAATATGGTACCTACATTATATTCAGAATAAAGACTATCATCAAAGTTCAGAGGCAGTCTAGAAACCCAAGAAAACTGCAGATCGTCAATGGAAATCTGAGGGTATCCATGTGTTTCCTGAATCAGATGCATGGAAATCCATGACACTCCAAGTAAATCAGAGGCGTAGGGGCAGAGGAGAGCCCAGGGTGTCCAAGGAGATTTTTCTATCGCAGTGGAAGGAGATCCAATAAGAAACAGGTTTCTGTCATCACTGTTAGCCATGAAGATATAAAGAAATCCGAGGAGATTCAAAGGCTTCCCAGGAGATCCTAAGAAATCTGAGCGGAGACAATCGTTTCTTTGATACAAGAGTCAGTGGTAGCTGCCACGATTGACGAGATGTGTTCCTGCCAGATCAAGTCCTAGGTGATCTGGACTTCGACCAGCCGTAATGAATGACTCTTTGGCAGACCTCGGCCATTCATTGAAACTGGATGAGTGCCAGCCCAACTAGCAAAGTAGTGCTATAAGCTTTTGGTAAAAGAACCGTTAAGCCATAAAAGCTCTCTATTATTGTTGCCTGAACACCAAAATGCTGGCTTAATGTTGTGTGGAATGCAAA